CCAATACGCCGACGAAAACCATGAGTGCAGCCTTATCTGCCCTCTGAAGGGGGTCGTTTTATTTTAAAATGAATGACATTTATCTCCAAAGGAATCATATATACGATATGTTTTTCTTCCATCAAACCGCCATTTTTCATTTGCTGCGATTTACTGGTTTTTTATTCAGTTTTATTATTCTTATGGATGCCGATCTATCTCATCATCCCAAATTCATACCTGAAATGATCGAACTTCAGAAGAAAGAAAACGTGAGCATCTGAGACGATCTTCGACTCCTTAATCGGACTTGCTTAAGTATTCGAGTCCCATTGCAGCTAGATATCGTAACTGGTACGCGGTACGCTATGTCTGGAGGGGTTTATGGTTGGGATATTAAACGGAAAACTATGAGCAAAGGAGCTAACTTCCTCGCCCAGGTCGGTGTTTAGTCATAGTAGAACACTACTATTTTTCATTTTTGCCAAATGTTGTTATGCTGTCAAGTGTCACGATGGTGTTCGGCGTTCTCTCACATTTCATGAGAACCTAATATAGGTCCGGAGTCATTGAACTCTTCGAATATTTACTTCTTTCAAGGGACCTCCAGAGACCAACATATTTCGCATTGCTAATAGTACAACTATACAGCGACATAGCCCGCTGGATGCTGAATTGGGTTATTTGAAACAGTATATCCTACCACTCCTATTGTCGGTGTGACTGCACCTACTTACTCTAAGCAGCACGCGTCCTGCGCAAAGCTTGCTCCACCTCAAACTTTGAAAAATGACACGACCCCCATTCCTCACTTCCATCTTACATTCCATGTTCCTGCGTGATCCTCAGTTTCCATAGTGTTTTCTTCTCCAAAAATTCCTCCACCTTCTCCCATAAAACTACTGTCGAACCGGGGTGGGAAGGTAAGGGAAGGTGTAGCATTTTCTAAATAGGAGAACTGACATAATTTTCTTTCTTAAAGGTTTAATACGACTCCTCGTCGCCCTCTATTCAGCGACCAAATACAATCCCCCTGGTCGGGGAACCCCTTTGACGTGCACTGTTTGTGAGCTTATGCAGTGCAGCTCTTCTTCATAGTATTTGCTCTCATTGATGAACTGTAATTTCAGTTCCTCCTCAATCCTGGAGTTTCTGACTTGACGGGTTCGTTCAGACTATATAGAAAGGAAGTGCTCGCATGTTTAATAAGTGAAAGTGTCAGTAAAGGATACGTGTTCCAGGTGAGTTTTATGATTTCAGAGTATTGAGCAATGGTATTCGGTTCAGTATCGGCTCAGCCTTCGACAGAGTTGTTTTTTCCGACCATAAATAAATCCCATTTCAGATGGAAATGATGTTCCGTGCAAGTAAGAAAGGTTACAAAATCGGTGAGGTCCCCATATCATTTGTTGATCGTTGTTTTGGTGAGTCTAAATTAGGTAGCCAGGAGATCATCGGCTATGTAAAGGGGCTTATGTATTTGTTTTTCTTCGTCAATTAGAGATTTTTTTTCATACGTAAGTTCAATGCTTTAACTAGTCACTACCTTGCCCCTGCTTCATATCGTTTTGTATATGTCATTCGTTTACTTATTACAGTATCGGTGGTTTCACGTGGTTTCTTGAGTATGTGATATGATTTACGTGGAATAAATTTTCAACTCAAAGTTGTTTACAACGATATCAAAGGGCGACATTGTATAAATGAATGGATCACACAGAGAAGCTTCTGGTTGCTTCGTTAATCTTAACCAGCAATTTTCGGACTTCCTGGGGCACTTTCTGGTCAGTGAAATTTGTTGCCCGTAGCGGAATATTGACCCATACCTACGATTACAACTACTTCTTTCTCCAGAAACCGACAAGTTTCAGGAAGTGCTGTCAGATTTGAACGATTTGAAAACCTGGGTATGGCCGACCTCCAGAGATTACTCAGATAAAGTAACAGCATTGCCTTTTATGGATCTGTACCTGTCACGCACTGCACTTCTCAAGAGCCTGTCACCATTTGTGGAGCTTTCATGCTTCACTGTCCACTCCATGCAATTATCGAATGATTTCATGATAAGGGCGATAACGGCGAAACAGACTGACTCGTCGATTTTCGTTTCTATTCAAACTCTCGCCTGCTTGAGTGCCCTTATGGACATTTTTTTCGAAAAATTATCCTGTTCAACACAGCTTTGAGATCTGCAACATTTTCCTAAGCCAATCCAAAATTTATTGTGTTGATGAACTTCTCCGGTTTTGTACCAATGGAGACCGATGCCTCTAAGGTCCTTATTATGGTGCTGTAGGTGGAAATGTTTAGCTGTGGCAGTGTAGCAGTATTCTCTTTCATGGAAATCCGTCTTATCTCAAAATGGCCGCATTAATCAGATCATCTCGTGAAATGTGCCAGATAGCAACGTTACAACATTTTCGTTACACTGAACGCTCCCATGCTGAGATCCTGATTAATTACATAGGCTATGGCTCTGAGAATCAAGGAAGGCAAGATAGGGGATGAATTCTTTGCCATCGATGAATCCCTTTGTGGGATGCGACACGCATTCTACTTCCACTCTGAATCGCAGTGGCTTTTTAGACGCGATGCGGCCTATACAATGACTCGCAGGGCCAGCCGATGTGCAAATCAGTGTTCATATCCTTCCAGACAAGGTTGGTACCAATTCACCGCCACAGGATAGAAGGGCTGGTGCCTGAGCGAGAACCAATCCGAATTTTGGCCGTCGGATCGGGCGAGTCATATTGTTAGACGTGCCGCTTGCCACTACACCACCTCCGCCTTCGCAATTAGAGTGATCGAGATGTGGTCTACATGAACAACATTTATGTCCTATCTTTAGTGATGCTATTGCTTGAGCTCCTAGTGAGAAAGCCCACGGCACGAACTTGTCGAATGTGACGATGAGCGCTGTATACTTCCCGATGTAACGCTAGAAGTACCTTACGGCTTCAGAGGCCATCTTAGGCCCAAGTGGCTGGTAGTCATAATTGAGGCCAGTTTCCTTTGCCGACAGCTATTTAATTAAAAACTTTAAGGGCATATACCTCTACTCTGCCACTTCCATACTGCTCAAATGTGGTAGACTAAATGACCGCTGCAAAGCGAGTGGTACAGCCGTATGTACAGTGCATACCTGAGGGTAGCAAGAGGCGTGGCGACGAAGGTCCACACGGAAGTGATTCAGAGACGTGTTTGTAAGAGAAGATAGTCGACATGAAATACGTAGCCACCTCTGCAGCCTTGAGGTATGGACTATGTCTACCCTACAATTCTCACCGCAAGGCAGTGTATGGGACGAACTGGGATCATTTAGAGCAAAGATTCAACCATTTTTCTCATTTCTGAACTTGTAAGCCCTAGCTTTGAGCAGCTCATTTTTTTCCGAACAGCATGACTAGTCCGAATGGACAAAGAATTCTCAATGCAAGCCACTTCAGATGCGGCTCATCATACTTTTGAGTGTTTTGGTCGGTGTATGGTCAGCACCCGTCGATGTACATCCACAATGTGCTGCTTGTCAGATGTTTTCCATCGCGTTGGCGAAGAACAGCTTGAAAGGTAGTATTTGGAATTTTTTTTCGTTTTTGGGATCACTTCCAGTTTTATTTTTTTTTTGGTTAATACCTACAAGGCTTGTTAACGTTAGACAGCCGTGCTTCGTACCCAGCTACCCATAAGGGAAGTGTCTTGCAACCGTTTTTTTTGCAAAAAGCAATCGCTGCTCCAGAAGCGATGAGCAAATACGACCCTGCTATGGATTCCCCAGCGTACGACGTGCCCTATGGAGATGCGCCAAGCACTGTACTTCCACTCGGGATAGTAGTGTCTTCAATGCGAGTTGTCACATATTTACTCCGGGAGCCGGCTCATGTACAAGTATATGTGTATAATAGTAACAGGCGAAATCAAAACAGAGGGCTCTGGTGGACAACCAGCCCGGGATTCGTTCCCCAGACCCTCACTGTTGCAGGGGCAAGGTCTTGCTACTGCACGACCTTTGCCTCACTTACAACTTCCTACTTGGGTTCTAAGCGTTTACATCCCTTCAAGACACTATAGAAGCCCACAAAGAAGCAGAAGGCGTAGAAAAGAGCACTCTGCCGTTGGAAGAATTTTTTTAACACGACCCCCTTCCTCCCAGTGACCGAATACCCCCGCCCTCAGTAGGAATCCCCGATGTGCCCTGGTAGAGAGTTCCTTGTCGAAAACTATTACAAGAGCCAAGTTCCCGCGACGTCGATTTATCACGTACGTTTTTAGGGAACGGAATCGCTGAAACTCCACTGCATGTCTGCTCGAAGTTGCCTCACTGCACGGAAACGCTCACGCATTGCCAGGTAAGTCTTGAAACCTTGTGGTTACCAAGAGTCTACTGGAAAATCTCCTATAAACCTGAGGTTTTTGCAGATAGTGAATTCACTAATGGCCGTTCCGCATGCCAACATTTCCTCAGAAATGGCTCATCGATTTGCACGAGTACAGTCTCACCTCCAATCAGTTGTAGAACTCTGTGAAAAAAGTGAGTCTAGAGATAAGGCCAAGTTCATACTTTGCGACTCAGGAGATTCGGTGATTTGAGAGATCAGGTGATTCGAGAGATTCTCGATGAGGATGTATAGGCATCGACTGGCGTTACAGGAGACTGAGCGATCCAGCGTTTTGAGGACTCGGCGTTTCGAGCAACTGCGCGCCAACGGAGTGGAAGGGTGTCGATCCGACGCATTATCGCCGATTCTCTGCAATCGCCAGTGACAAGGACGTGCAATCGGATTCTTCCCAGTCGCCATGTCGAAAGATGTACTTCCCTTGTCGCGCAATCTCTCGAATCTTCTTGTCGCAAAGCAAAAACGTGTTCAGTTACCACTTGCACGAATAATTACTGCCTTCAGATCCGCACGCGGAAGTGCTAGATGGACAACCTGGGCCAGCTTTGTGCACCATGTGTTTCTTAATCTACTACTTTTTCCAGTTCATGAATAACGGTACAGATCTTTCGAGTGTTTCGGATTTTATTGGTGTCGATCTACTGTTTCAGGTATTCTACAGTTACCACTTCTCAATCTCATCCCACAAGTTATTCAATTGACTTGTATCATTGTCGCTAACATCAACCAGGAAATCACTCCACCTGTGGTGAGTGACAGACACTAGCCCCAGCTAAAGCTACACTGACTATGAGACCGTGTTCATACTTTGCGCATATGAAGATCGGGCGATTTGGAAAACTCGGCGATCTGAGATACTGCACAACGAGTAAATTGTAGGTGTCGGACCTAGCGTTTACGGAAATTCCACGATCTCGATCTCCAATCGCGATGCGCGTGTTGGATGGCCGAACCGGCAAATTTCCAGCTACGGGCACTTATCGATACCCATCCACTCCTTTGCAAGAAACCCTGAGAAAGGGAGCGTTGATCTTTGCGGCAGCGGCCACTAGCGACCATCAGCATTTCGAGCGTCCCTCAGCAACAGCGATTGTCCAAGAATAGATATCAGTCTATCAAATGGCAGCGTCTATCAGGGTCGTCCAGGAGTAGACAGTAAAGTAAGAGGGTAGCAGACCGCGGGTAATGTGGAAAGTAGAGCAGGGGTGGGAACAGCTGGATCAGACTTATAAAATTGTGCCGTGTGCAACAGCACTGAATACTGCACAGTACCGTACTCCTGATCGCTGGTAGTCCTGGTGGACGCTGCCGTTTGCTAGATGGATATCTACAGTTTCTTAGTCGCTGATGCTGACAGACGTTCGGAACACTGATGTCGCTGGTGGACGCTGCCGCAGAGTATGAACGCAGCACAATCCAAAAGGCCGAGTCTCCCTAATCGCAAGACCGATACCTATAGTTTGTTCGTCACGCAATCACTCTAATGCCAAGACTCCTCCAGATCGTTAAATCTCCTTAGCCAAGAACCGTTCTCAAGCTGATGCATAAGTAAAGTCAGTTTCTTCAAAAGTAGTCTATCTTTAGAAAAAAAATTACATTTCTAGGGGGGGGACTTATCTATGGCATCAGCTAGAAGCTAATGTAAGCACTATCTAGAATCCAGAACGTGGAGAGTTAGGCCGCAAAAAAAGCCGCCCCCCGACATGCCCTTTTCTGCGAGTACAATCAATGAAAAAAAAACGCCGCCGGAGCATCCAGAGACATCAGTGCTTTTTAAGAGGGCGCCTAAGCAGCTTTTTCTTTGATTGTACTAGTAAAAAGGGCAGGGGCTGCTTTTTTCAACATAGCACTCCGACCCACGGCTTCAAAAAAAAGTTGATTCATAAAAAAACGCTAAATAACAATGTGTATTGTGGAGATGTCTCTTTGGTTGATACCGTAGCAAAAACCTTCCTAAAAAGTATTCCTCTCAAATATGAGCTACTTAGGAACGCCCACTTTATTTACATACCAGGACGCATTCGACTTGGGAGGGGTGGCCTGTACAAACTCCGCCACTTACCCTTTTTCGTCCCCCTCACAAAACTAAAAAGCGCCACATATCAGTTTATAAAATCGCTGTTAACGCACTATAGTTGTCATAATTTCTCTCATTCAGTGCCAAGCTCTCCTTGCCGATGGAGCGATGCCTGCTCTTCTCAAAGCCATCGCCGATTCAATGGGATCTTTCTACGATCTCATAGCTGTGCAGGGAATGGGCTGTCCTTCTTACCAAACCCTCTTTGGAACCTGTTAAGGATAGGTGAAGAATAAAATTTTCTTTATCGTACAACATCAAACATTTTCACAACACAAGTGTGATGAACAGACAAACGATATTAGGATAACAAATTAACAATGTCTTCATGAAAGCCATAGTTTCAATACGAAACTGGCTTGCTAGAGATGGGGCTTTATAAAGCACTATAGAGCCACAGTCGCCTATGGACATTATCGTCTCACGATAACAATCGCTACATCTGTCGGGACATGTCGAATGACGACGTATTACATCTACTTCTCATGAAACCCATCGCAGTAGGGTATACTAGTTGGGGTGTATCGAGACAAGAGGCGACCGCGTCTTGGGACATAAAACCCAGGTTGAACAGCAGAACAATCAGAAACCATCTTATTTCACTTCATTTTAGTTCCTAGCCATCTTTTCTTTCAGATGCCTTAAGTGGCCTTAAGTACAGGCATGAGACGGTTGTGGCCCCACAGTACTATTAGGGAGATGGGAAAATCAACAACGGGTAACAAACCTTACACAACAGAATCAACAGCATTTTTCGGTTAATCCTCGAATTTTATCTTTTTGCTCTGCGGGGCCCCGTTTCCTTCGAACGGTCGTTTGTAACCACCTGAAGACTGCTTACAGACAAGCTTATGGTAGTCAACTTTCCACAAAGAAATCAAGATGTAACACTCCTCAAATTTCTGACAGAAATTATCTCTTACTACTAGAAAGTAATCAGCTCATCCCTTGGAAGAGCAATGCATACCTCGGTCTCCTCCGCGTCCTCGGTCACCAAATCCACCACGGCCGCCACGATCACTGAAACCACCACGGCCACCACGATCACCGCCGAACCCTCCACGACCACCACGACTGCCGCGATCTCCACCAAAACCGCCTCCACGACCGCCACCTCTTCCACCTCGATCGTTGCCAAAACCTCCACGTCCGCCACGGAAACCTGAAATAAAGGATCGACGTCAACCACTATGGAACAATAAGGATAAAAGGATAAAGTCTTCGCCGTTGATCAATCCCTTTGTGGGATGCGGCACGCATTCTACTTCCATTCAGAATCGTAGTGGCTTATTGAATGCGATGTGGCCTATACAATGACTTGCGGGGCCAGCCGATGTACAAGTCAGTGTTTTATCCTCCCAGACGAATCTGGTACCAATTTACCGTCCCCGGAGGGTAGAAGGCTTGGTTGGCCTGGGTGGGAGTCGACCCGGGACCGCGCGAGTGGTGCGCGCCATTTGTCACTACACCACCTCCGCCTCTGTGAAACAAGGAATACAAGTATACACAGTACAACGGCAATTGCAGGAACAAAATCACAACTGAACTCGATCAAGGTTATGACGAAAAATCCCATCTCCCACTTATCATTAGCTTCTAGAAGAATGAGGTTGATCAACTCTTCTCTCGATTGTCACTCTTTCTAATATTCATTTTTAACAGCAGAACACCCATTACACTTAAGTTACCTAACATTTTTGCAACCCATGCACATTCCCCCCCCCCAACCCCCTTCTGAAGAATGCGCAGGATAGGGTGATGCAATTTTAAACGGTGCAGCTTACCACACGCAAGGGGGTGGAAATATTAGTCCTCAAGGACAGTTTTCGGTTGTGGATTTTCAAGGTTTCTCCCGTTTAATTCACGTTGTACCACCCTCCACCACGCTCGATGGCAGAAATACAGGAGAATTTATGAAAAAAAATGACAAAGCAGTAGGAGGAAACTGGAGGAAGCACGGAAGGAAATTTTAAGGAGTGGGCGAGTCGTATGTTGCAGAACTTCTCCCCAAACAACAGGAAGTGCCGTGGCTCCGGTCAACTCGCCAAAAAGCCTTCCGACCGTCCGCGGTCGGATAACTGGTATCTCGACCAGAACTGTGTATTATCCTCTCACAATTGTGTGGAAGAGTAGAATCACTGACTTGTACATTTGCTGGCCCTGTTGACTCTATATATAGATGAAATGGCATACTAAAAACCATCACGGTTTTGAATGGAATAAGAGCCCATGACGCGCCCTAAAATGGACCATTCAGCTCTGAAAACTTTTACAATTTCTCGAGGATTGTGTAGCGCTTCAAGTAAACTAGCGGCTGACAATGTGATTCTAGAACAATAAAAGGTAAAAATTTCGCCACTGATCAATGCTTTGTTGGAGTGTGGCACGCATTCTGCTTCTACAGAGTCGTAGTGGTCTTGTGAATGTGCTATGGTCTATCCATTATCTTGGAGGAGCACAGGTCAGGTGTTTTCATCCTCCCAGGCAAATCTGGTACCAACTTACCGTCAACCAATGGATGGAAAGCTGTTGGCCCGGTCGAGAGCCGATCCGGGATCAGCCCCAAAATGAGACTCATGATAGCGGCACAACTTACACCACATACTGCATCCCAAATTGAAAAGAAAAATCCTAAGAGCTTCAAAAAGAAGTCTTCAAGTCACCCACCTCCGCGATCTCCTCCACGACCTCCTCGGCCTCGATCGCCACCTCTGCCACCACGCCCGCCTCTACCCCGTCCCCCTCTAGGAGCTCCTGGTAAAAACCTGAAATTCACAGAGTAAGTTTAAGACGATCTATACCGAAAATAGGGAGGTGACATATTTACATTTCAAATTCCTTGAGGGAAAAGATTTACCTTTCTATAGGCATCAATTTTGCTGGGTCAATATACAATTTCTGCCCCTCTTTGAATGAGGCAGCCTTAACGCCATTTTGTAAGGTAACAGAGAAACCCTGCAAAAGTTTACATTATTTCGAAAATTGCAATAAAGACACACGAACGAGAAACCCTTACTTTTAGTTGCCTATGAACCAGGCAACTAAGTAAATGTTGTGAAATACAGAAAAGCCAAAAAGGTCTTGCAAATTTTCACGAATAGCTTAGCTGCCTACTCGGAGCGCGCACCTTCGCGCTCTGATGGTGATCCAAGCGACACAACCACTCTCGCGATACAATTAGACTGCCTTCATAGTTTACTGCAGCAACCACCAGCCAGTAGCGTCTCAAAGGTAGGGATCAATCGATCTAGCTCTACTCGCGTGTGCCTGCACCAATGTCTACCAGCGTCCGGGTGAGGAGGGTAGCAGAAAGCTGATACCCTTCTATCGCGCCAAACTCTCTTCCAGCAGTCTGTTAGCCTCCTTTCTCCCCATACTCTCATGGTCAGCTATTTGCTACCCTCCTATCGCCCCATACTCTCCACTCGCGGACGCTGCTGGTCGCTGGTAGACGCTGGTGGACGCTGCCGCAAAGTATGAACGCAGCCTTACGCGATTCAAGCGACTGGATCGCGAAATATGAACGCGTTCTCAGTGAGCCGAAATACATTATACAGAAGTTCAGTCTAAAGTCTAACTTTGACAACATTTCAAACGATATCACCTCGCTCAACTGATCTGGACCCTCTCACCTGCTCTGCGCTGGCAGCCTAGTTCAGAGCAACTGCGGCAGATCCAAGTCGGTCAAGCATTATAGCACCTATTTAAGGCTGCGTTCATACCGTGCGACGTAGTCGTCAACGTCGACGTAACCGACGTTTTCGACGACTAGTTCGCGAAGATTATATACGTATCGATCCGACGTAACGGACGAAACCGACGAAAGCTGCGTAACCGACGACTACTTCACGAAGATTAGATACCTATCGATCGACGAAAGAGACGAAACCGACGTAAGCGACGTAACCGACGTTTTCGACGTCAGTCGATACGTATCTAATCTTCTGTCGTCGGTTACGTCGATTACGTCGACAGGTGGATCGATACGTATCTAGTCTCTAGTCGTCGAAAACGTCGGTTACGCAGCTTTCGTCGGTTTCGTCCGTTACGTCGGATCGATACGTATATAATCTTCGCGAACTAGTCGTCGAAAACGTCGGTTACGTCGCTTTCGTCGGTTACGTCGACGTTGACGACGCCGTCGCACGGTATGAACGCAGCCTAAAGCATTTAGTGTTTCAATATATATATATCACATTTCACGTCGCAGAGGAAGGTATGAGCGCCAAAACAACGGGTGAAAAATTGATAGAGCTTGTAGGCTCCTTTCAAGTTGTTCCTTGCAGTGGATCTTGGCACCTCTTGCTTTTGTTTTACAATATTTATGGCTAGTTTCAAATGAAGCCCCGGACAGCACAACGCCACGATAACTCACATTATCCATTAAACTGCCAAAGATTTCGTCGATTTTTCCGATCTGTTCTTTGTTTTTGAAATATAACGGAGCATTGAAGAAGGGAATCTTGCCACAGGTGCATTTGCATACAATATCGTCTTCACAAGTGTGAGTGAATTCTCCCACTTCAACAACCTAAACTGGCAATGAAGCAGCTGTTATTCAAGCGTATCAACATGAATGTACCTCTTCAGGGGGTCCTTGATTAAAAGAGCGATCACCGCCACCACCGCGGCCTCCTCGGAATCCACGGCCACCTCCTCGACCTCCACCTCCTCCTCGTCCTCGGAAAGACATACCTGTACCATCATCATGACAGTAGGCAGCGTTCAAACTTCGCGACGCCAGCGCTTCGATCGCGCGTCGCGTTCGGCGCTATCAATACAGTAGAAAGCAGCATCGAACGCGCCGAACGCGCTACCGAAAGCGCTGCCGTCGCGAAGTCTAAACGCTGCCTTAGAAAACACACTGTATTTTACAAGAAGCTGAGTTATTGGGCAAAAGACAAGAGCTGCTTAAGATAAGAAAACACGAAAACACGACATTTTTTGATCGAGCCGCATTACAATTAAAAATCCGGTACATTAGATTTGAAATAGCTCTTCTTCAGTTTACTACGCGATAATGTGCTTTGCTTCCGAAAAAGAATCAGCCAGCCATTCCCATTCTCAAAAATACGATGATACTGATAGTGTGACTGTGATACTTAGGGTATACTACTATGATATACACTGTGATACTTAGGGTAGGATAATGAAGTACCTGAACAAACCCTTTTTAAAGACAGTTTTAAAGAGTGGAGTAACGCAAAATAGGATACAAG